ATTGAAATGCGTATATTCCTGTTACTGGTACAATAAAAATACCATCATGTTTGATCTACCCATTTCCTTCATTTACTATTACAGAGTCGAAAGTAAAGGTCATGTGTTTGGGGATATTTGCCTGGTCATAGTAATTCATGTAGGCATAGAATGAGACATGTTGTGTATTTGGCATTGATGTTGGTGGAACTGAAATATAGTTTTCCAAATTTAAAATTGATGAAGCATTCATATTAAAAATTGTTATACCCCTACTAAACAGTCGCTATATAATTTCTAACTTTAAAAAGTCCAACAGATTGACTGGTTTTCCTATTGTCAGTCCAGGAACTGTTAAAATAGACTGTTGCCCGCTGACGTCATATGGCGCTAAACTGAGTTATCTTATCATTCGGTAGAGGAGTATAACAAAACAGTTGTAAATGGGAGTCTTGGGAAACAGACGATCTGTTAGACTGGAGTGCAAACTTTTGCCCGCGGCCTGCACAACTTGCACTCCGGTCCAACAGATCGACTGTTTTCCTCTACACCAGTCAATAACTGTATTTTATTAAAATTGTGATTACATCATTAATTCTCAAAGGTGAAATTGATGCATATTTTAATTTTTTCTTTTTTATAAGTAAAGATACCTTATAAATATTGTTGACGTTATTTAACATGTTTAAGATATATGAATCTTATTTTGTTTTTAGTTTATACATACTGATTCTAGGGACAACGTGCTTGTTAGTTTCAGTCAAAGGAATATTTTCATCACTTTTATTTTGTTTCTTTTTTATCCCATTCCAGCTCTTTTCTTTGGCTTTATCGATTCCATTGTTTTGTATCTCTTTTGCTGAATATGACGTGCTTTCAACATTCAATATATTAATCCTATTTTCTAAAACATTTAATTTCAACTTCAAGTCAACATTGTCCTGTTGAATTTGCTGCAACAGATCCTTAATGATGCTATTTTCTTCTTTTAGGTTAAAGTTTTCTTCCGAGAGATCCTTATTGGCTTCCTCTAAAACACGTAATCTATTCTCGATTACTTCAATGCTGTTCTGACCGATGGTACATTGGACGTCCTGAATTGCTAATACACAGAGAACAAACAAGAGGCATGTTCTGATCGTCATTTTACAATCTTTAACTTGGTGTTAAAGACTGTATACAGATCTGTCAATGACCTACATTATGTACATGAACAATGCAGTTATATATACAACAGAGCACTAGGTTGCAAACAATGTCAAAGATAAGAACGTATTATACAGTCTGCTTTTTTGGATATTATTGTGCATTAATGAATCCATACCACATCATCACTGTATTAAAGAATATTGTTTGAACTTCATCAAATCTCACCCAAATGCATTTTCATATCTCAAAAATGTTGATAAAAACAAATCAACTTCTAGTAAAACTTTTCGTACATTTTTTTGGCATTCGATTAGAAAATCAATCGGAATAAATTCTACAGTTATTAAAATCCTTTAATTTTTTCCTAATTAGGTAATGCAATGTAAACATGATAAGAGACATTAACATTTTTAAACATAACAAGTCGGATCTAAATTCCAGAAGAAATACCGGCCACACACGCCATTTACCCTCACCCTCCCCCACCCCCACCCCCACTCCATTAATACTGAACAGGAACGTGAAACAATAGAATAAGAAATCGCTCCCTCTTTTCCGCTTAGGACAAATTCCTGGATCCGTCTATGCTCAATTAGCCGAATTTCATAACTACTAAGTCTGCTAATGGAGCAACAAACTGCGTATGTTTTCATGAAAGATGTCATTCCTTAATGTGTTACGAAAAAGATGCCGAGGTCGAGTTTCTGATTGACAATATCTATGTGGTTTTGGAAACCACGTCTTTAAACACTCTATTGGAATTCCTATCATCATTATTCTATTTAATTTACTTCTAGGATTTTGTAGAAGTTTTAAAACTGAGTGTTTAAAAGTTAACGAATGAAAAAATAACGGACCGTGGGTGATCTGAAAAGCTCTCTTGATACAAAAGTTCGTGAAATTTCTCTAAATTTTATTGTGATTTGATGAAAGGAAACAAAAGACATATTTATAAAATAGACCTATTATGCAACAATACTGGAAAATTCTCCCTCGTTCCAATCACTACTTAGGTTACAAGAGCTTTCTCTTAAAAATCGGGTATTATCCGTGAAATCGCGTATAATACCCAATATTAGGGTATCGTTGAATCCGCGAAATCAAGTATAGGAGGTGTAATCACCTAATAAAACTTAAACAATGGGATGGCGCATGTTGCCGAGTTAACTTTCATCTAGATACAAATGTTTTCTAAAGGTATCTAGCCAAGTAAGACTTTGGGCGTCAAGATTAATGCGCTCAGGACAACAAATACCCGTGGAGCTCAGTACATTTCATGATTTGCACACAAAAAGGCGTTCGATTTGCTTTATATTTTTCAAAATGTTGAAAGTATATGCATCTTCCTCATGTTCATTCCCAACACAACAGAATTGTAAAGTATCAGAATTCGGGAATTTATAATAATTCCACATCAACGCGACAAACATGAACAATTTGTAAATAAATCAAATTATACGGAAACACATTTCACACATAAGATATAATGCCATGTATAAACAAGGAATTGTCTATCCTATCTAATTATGCGTCATTAATCACATTCATCTTGTGCATAAAATCAAATTTATTTATGAATGTATAAATAATGTAATGATAAAAATGTCTAAAATTTCGGCTAAAAAACCCTCTTTCTCTTTTTTGGAAAATCTTTTTTTTATCATTAATACATATTTGCAGAATATGTCTTCAACATTTTAGCAGAAACAGCTAGTGATAGTTTCAGGAATACAGCTTAATATGAGAGTTTAATTTCGCTAAGTCATCAATATTTTACCATTTCTTGGCGACTTCAAAAAAAGGGGGGGGGGGGGCTAAAGGCTTCTTCACCACCTCTGACAAAACAACCTCGACTGTGTTCTGCATGTGTCCAAGAGACCTCTCCTTTCGCAATCATTGAATTAAATGTTAATGCAAAGTTTTTTGCTATATGTCTTTGAATGTCACGGTCGGTTAAACTCGGTTACATATTTTTAATTGTAGGGAAGATTTATTCATCAAATAAAAATTATATAGGTAAACAAAAAGCAACCTGTTATTTTCTAACACAATATGATACTACAAGTAATTAAAATTCATGTTTATTTTTAACACATTTCTTCATCACAGATGAGTATTAGGAAAAGTTATTGCCATGAGTAATAAGTGTCAGATAAGATAACTAAAAGAAAACTGTGACATTGTGATTGTCTAGAACCATTTAGATAGTGCGTTGTATAGCATATTATAATGAGGTTTTAAGATAGCGATATAAAAAAAATGCGCAAAATAGACAACAGAAGGTAAAATCTACCCTGTCTATCAAATAGTATAATAAAGAAAGGAAGTGGCTACAATTTTTATGAAATTTTAATGTCCGATGAGGAATTATATTCCCAAAAAGTAAGACAAGAGTTTCCAAGGCGCAAATGAACACCATTATTTCAGTGTGTTCATTAACATATTCATAAACGTAGAAACTAGAAGAAATTTGAAAACTTGCCTATGTAATTCATATTTGAATATGACTGTACCTAGATCTATATTGAGAAATTCAATGTAATATAAGCTCATGAAAATATGTACACATTTGACTTTTATTTATACCCCCCCCCCCAAAAAAAAGAAAATCCTGTTCACATGATTTCTCGCTCTCAATTTTCACACAAATGCATAAAATAAAGGTAAAATGGCGTATCTTGTATCGATTAAAATGCAACCAAAAAATTTACGGTGTCTTTGAATAAAAATTTCCATGCTAAATTGACATAAAAAAAAGATACTCACCTTCAATTAGCTATTTTCAACCTGTTTTCCCGTAGGTATTTATTTAATCTTATTTTATATTCTTCTTTATAATAACGCTGGTATTCTATTATGGCAGAGATATACAATTATGACTCGCTTATACTGTACTCTCTAACTGTTAGGAATAATTTATATTTCACGTGAAAGGGACGCCATACATTTTTCAGTAAAAATGCATAACACGGCGTTAGTCGTTCAATTTCTTTAAAGTTTCACATTTTGTGAATAGTGCACAAATTAGAAAATTAAGTTTATGGAATACTTTAATGGGAAATAAAGACAAACGAGGTGTAGTTATTTGTTTTTAGAAATTATATTGAAAAACAATAACGCCATTGTGTCCTCTTTGTTACCCCAGCAGTGTTTGTCGTGTGATTTTAAACTTATTTGACAACAATATAAATTAGGTTTAATAAAAATAAATCCACAAGATACTGATGTACAAGTAACAGTAACTGGCGTAATGCGCCGTTGCTTCATTCTTTAGTTTTTGTAGAAAGTTGCACGGAATACCCGATTTTGCGGATTCAACGATACCCTAATATCGGGTATTATACGCGATTTCACGGGTAATACCCGATTTCGAGTATTCTCTCCGACCTGTTTAAGCTACCATCCATCTCACAGCAAACTAGTATTATATTAAATTAGATATCAAATTATTATTATTCAAATTATTACCTCCACTCTATAAATTTATTATTGTTTTAATTAGGTCGTTTCAAATTTTGTTTACGATCAATTTCTATTGCAAAAATAAATATTTAATCTTAAAGTAGTCTCTCATATTATCTTTCAAGATTAACTATTTTGTCAACAAACAGGTATTGGATTGATAATATCAGCATTTTTTAATTACAACATTGTTATTATTTTAATATACTACGCCGAACATTGTTCAGGAATTGAAAAAAGTGCACTCGCGTCAAACGATTTCAACAAAGATAAGAACATGAGGTACACAATAATATATATATAATAATAGACAAATCTGTCTAAAGACGACACAATTCCTTATCTTTGAAACCTTCATGTCGCTTTACTAAAACACGCATATTAGGTAATAGTAAGGGATTGCCGTAGATATACATGTACAGTTCCTAATTTTACACAAAGATTAAATCCGTGAACATGGCACAAAAGGGACTCCTCTTAATTCTATCTGTTCTTTTACCATTTCATGTCCAAGGTAGATTTGACCACCACTGGATGGAAGGTATTGAAAACCGCTTGCACGTTTTAGAAGAAGCCAACAAGGAACTTAAGAATGAAAACTCCAATCTTAAAGCAGAAATTAAAGAAATAAAGAGGCTGTTGGGGAAAATTCAACGGCAAAATATTGCCTTGAAGATGATTTCCGGTGTTCCAAAAATAAAGAAAGATACTGATGTATTGAATATCGGAAAACAGTCAACTCTACCTGAACAAGATGAAAGCATCGCAGACGGCGGAGTATATGAGGCCAATTCGAACGGGACAATGAAAAATAAAAATGCCATAAGTAATACCCTCGTGGTTGAAACAATCAAAAATGTTGTGCCAAGGATCAGTATGTATGACAATACTTCTGATTTTTTTTACAGTCATGCATATCTTTCAGTAAAAGTATAAGCGTAGAATTTGTTTTAATTAGACAGTAGTCTTCAACAAACACGTCTTTTAACATTAAAAATAAAACACTTATGATGGATATTACGTTTTATAGATTATGTCATTTAAAAAATATTTCAGTTCCTGCAACATCAGTTTCACCTACACAGTCTGTTGCATTCTATGTCTACATGAATTCCTTTTCTCAGCCTAATATACCCGGCCATATGACACTTACATTCGACACGGTAATAATAAACGAAGGAAATGGATATACTAAACATGATGGGGTTTTCATTGTGCCCATAAAGGGAACATACGTATTTCACTGGTCATTTAAAGTAGCTGTCCAATCATGGGCAAGTGTCGAAATAATCGTAAATGGGAATGCCATTGGATGTGCATCTTCTGACACACAAAGAGCTGATCATTGGGGGACAGGGAGTGAATTAGTCATCACTCACGTAAACGTTGGTGACCACGTATTCGTGCGCACGCGTGAGCGTGTAATAGGATCTATTATTAGTAGTGATCGTGCGAGGTCATCATTTTCCGGATGGTTAATGCATTCATAATTTGTTGGCTATATCAAAGAATAAAACTCCTTTACTGCTTTATAGTTTTTTTAATTCTTTAAAGAAGATTTTTAGGACACAGCACTGGTTTGCCATTGAATAGGAGAGCCTCGTAAAGATTAGTCTGAGAAACTACTTTAGTTTAGTATTTATCATAATTATTGCCATGAAATATTGAACTTCATTATTTTTTGTCCAAAAATAGTCTAATTAAAAAAAATCTAGTTAATTGAGGGGAATTCCTCAATATTTTCCGACAACCTATTGGAATTTCCATGTATTTCCATCCAATGTTTGTGTGATTCTTTTTAGAGTTTTTTTTTTAGTTTTATGTTCATTTCATGTACATCCGATCGGACTTTCCAGAAACATGGGTATTCACTGTCAATTTCATACAGAACCCAACTTACAGCTGTTTGTGGTGGAAAAACATAATAAAAGCTCGAAATTTTCTGTGAAAATACAAGTTATTGATATATGTCGTCTGTAACGTGTATTCTAACTCAATTGATTTCTACAAAGCAGAGTATGATAACCCATGGGAAATAGGCGCGAAGTGTCCCATTACAAGCATTTTAAAGTCATAGTGAAGCAACTTGAATTTTTCCACATTTGTGTAACGGTATCGTCAATTCAATCTAATTGATAGTTTTTTTTTTGAAAAAAATAAAAGATAAATGTTTATCCATATCAATAATGTTAAAGCACTGTGGTTAAGATATGATATTTTCCGTTCTAAATACCATTTGTCGTTACATGGTGAATTCTGAGTCATTCCCAAAAAGCTGGTTTTAAGTGATATTTTCGCAATTAAAAGAATACCAAATCATATTTTAAACACATCCTAATACTAAACGTTAAAGTCCATTTTGAAAATATCCCGTCATTGATATCTCTACAACTCTGATGCGTAATGAATCACCCTAAATGAAGGAAGAAGTTTTAATTTTAAAGGTGCTTAAACACAGATTTGAAATCAATATTATCTCAATTTTTCAGTATAATCTCGTGACTTATGAAACGTAAACATTAACAATAACAGAGCTCGAGCTCTGTTTTCAAAACATTATACTGTTTCAAAGGGTGTATCAATTATTAAACTCTGCACGCATCACTTAGCACGGAATGACAATACTGGTGAGTTGGTTTGCTTTCTCTCATTTCGACTGTCTGTTTTCTGGATTATAGTTTTAATATTTTTCATCAACTCCAAAATTTATAATTTTCTTAAGTATTAAGGATGAAGTTTATTCTTTGAAAGTGCAAGGATGTGAAAATCAAACACCTCCCGAAATCGAAGTTCAATAATTTCAAGATAAAATAATATTATTATTGTGTTACATACCAGAGAAACATATTAATCATGATATTGTTCAGAAATTTGAGAAATATTAACTTCAAATCTTTGTCTAAGTACCTCTAATAGAACACTTCATTGAGATATAATAATATAGGCCTTTGTAGAACACAATTTGGGTACTTAACGTTTTTAACTTCTCTTGGTTGATAAAAACATTCCCATTATATTATAATATTGAAGTTTTAATTATTTTATTAGGATAATGTGTATCAACGAAGATGATTGATTGATTGTATACTGTTTAACGTCCCTCTCCAGAATATTTCACTGATATGGAGACGTCACCATTGCCGGTGAAGGGCTGCAAATTTAGGCCTATGCTCGGCACTCAGGGCCATTGAGCAGGGAGGGATCTTTATCGTGCTACACCTGCTGTGACACGGGGCCTCGGTTTATACGGTCTCATCCGAAGTATCAACGAAGAGAAAGGTTTAAAACGTCACGTGGGTTAAAGGTTAACATTTAAGGCATTAAAGCAATCGTACTAAGAGTAATGTATTTATATGTACTATTATTACAAATATATTGTGCTGAATTGGTGTGTATAGACTACTCAGGGGCTTCAGTAAAGAAAAAATAAACACTTACATCTTTTGTTTAAAAAAGCTCGAGACAGACACCACCTTGAAAAAATATATACCAGGGTATAACTGATAAAGTGAAAGCCGTGTGACGTCACAATCTTTAAATTTTTTGTTCGTTTTAAAGTTCAAAGAGACGGATCGAAGTAAAAAATGTAAATTATTTAGGAATTGTGCTACATGTAACCCTAACGAAAAATAAACGTATATATTACATGTTTGGCAACGAATTACTCCTTCATCTTAATCGCAATCAATAAATGGGGGCTTAGGAAAAGCTTGGAGAGTGACCTTATGATACATGTATATAGAGGATCTGCTCTTCTAATGACAATGTAATTGTACATTCGTATCTGGTGTTACCTGTTGAGTTTTTTAGGGATATGATTCTGAATTTAAAACAAATATTCGTGGGGTTTAATTTTCGTTGTTTTCGAGATATGAAGACACCCACGAATTGATGTCCACCACGACATGCAAAATATTACATAAATAACTTCTCAAAATTCTTCATCAAGGAAATCAAATCTACACGAACCAAGAGTTTTTTGCTTTTGCAACAAAGCAACCATAGTTTTAATTTGACGCTGATACTGGAAATTAAAAACTAGATCGTACTCACTTTGTTCAGGTCCGTTTTGCTTTTTCTATAAATGATAAAGAATAAACATCATAAAATAACATCAAATCTCCAAACATTATTCGTTCAATTAACTCAAACATCCATCTTAAGCTATCAAACATAAGAAACTAAACAAATCATATCTTAGTGTTTTATATTATTGATATGGATTTCACCATTAGCAAGATTGAACGCATACATATATTTCTCTTATAAAAGTATAAGTCTTTAAGATTTCATTTTTCAGACATGACAGATGTTATCATATGTAAATCATCATAATATGCGCTGTTAATACAGTTGTGTTTTCCTTCAATTCACTTAATTGCCTATTAAAATTAACCATTCAAAAACACAAACATCAGTTTATTCTTTAAGTATATAGAACCATACAACTTATGTCTTATTATTTTTGGGTATAGACTTTGATTTTACCATTTGCTAGATTGAAAGCAAACATGTATTTCTCCTATACATTTATGAATTTTTAAATAAAAAAAACATCTTTACATTCCAAACAAAACAAATGACGATTGTTTATCTTAAGTAATCATCATAATTTTCGCCGTAAAGCATTTTCCATCAATCTGCTTGCCGAAAGTAAATAAGTTCTGAAAATCAATTAAAATTTGCAACAAGCCTTTTAGAATACATGTATATCAATTTTGTATAGCATAATATCGCTGTAAATTATTTGTTGGCTGCATCATTCCGTGCACCAGAAATCATCATGATAACACCACTGACAACGTACTATTCGACCAGTCTTTAACAAGCTGCAACGTGCTACACACCAGAAAAATGTTTAGAACTCCACTGGCTGCGTCAATACGCACCAGGACTTCCACTGGCTATAACATGCTATGCACAAGGACTTCCACTGGTTGCAACATGCTATGCACCAGGACTTCCACTGACTGCAACATGCTATGCACCAAGACTCTCACTGGCTACAACATGATATGCACCAGGACTTCCACTGGCTGCAACATGCTATGCACCAGGACTTTCACTGGCTATAATGTGCTATGCACCAGGACTTCCACCGGCTGCAAGGTGCTATGCACCAGGACTTCCACTGGATGCATCGTGCTGTGCACCAGAAACACCCTGAAAACTCTACTTGCGTCACATACGCACCAACATCAACTTACTATAACTTCACTTGCTGCAACGTGCTATGCACCAAGAACATAATGATAAATCTACTAAATGAGGCATACTAGGCACCAAGATTACTATAAAGATCACTGTGCATTAAATGTATCTTATATACTGAATTTATATGTGCAGTAAAACCAACACTTCATAACTTTGCTAAAATATAACTATTTTATAAACTTCTATTACAAAATACAATTAAGTACATGTACTGTTTTCCATTATACTATATAAAGAATTTTTCACATGTAATTTTTATCGACTTCTAGATCACTATTCATTTTATATTCTGCGACAGTGTGCATGGATATTATTTTTATTACATTTTAAATTTCTTGAGCCTTTAGAGCGGCATTTCCATGTACATCTGATTTTCTAATTTTAAACGACGCAGTATTAAATATAACACAGATAAAGTATAATCCCAACCGTTCAATGTTCAATGTAGATACAAATAGAGGGTCTTGAGCCTTTAGAGCGGCATGTCAGAGCATACATCTGATTTTCTAATTTTAAACGAAGCAGTATCATATATAACACAGATAAAGTATAATCACAACCGTTCAATGTTCAATATAGATTCAAATACAGGGATATAAAAAAACGTCCCTCATTCAAAATTTATAAATCATTACGATTATTTCAAGATAAAACCTAAAATAATTATAGTTAAGATATTCCTATTTAGGACGTTCTGGTATTCCAAAAAAAAAATTATATATACAATTTTATGCTTGTCTGTTCTTGAAAACTTAGACTGCTATATATACACTGAATCAAAAAGCTCCTCGACACGCAACAACTTCAACCAACTTTTACTTGTTTTCAAATATCGCATGTCTTTTGAAAACAAACTGCAAATTAAATTCTATTTGCGTCGTAGTGCTGATGAGTGAAATCTAGTTTGTTCAAGTCGTGTCCAAAACAATATGATATGGCTAATTATAAATATCAATACGTTCACAGTTGAATCAAAATTTTGACCATGAAAACTGAACACAATCAATCGTATTCCATATAACCTCATTATAATATTTTACTGAAGTATATAGTATACTTGGATATTTATCATTAGACCAGAAATGAAAATCAACATTATAAAATAACATTTCTTAACTGTTTGAAAGCTTTTTAAAAAATTTCAAAGAGATAAAATTAATCCAGAGCTTTTCCCTTTTATCTTTTATTTAATAACGAGAAAATGAAATGATTTCATTTACAAGCAGTAGGCTTTTGTATTTTTGATTGATAGTATTTAAAGCCGCTTGATCCGATT